GGATGGGAAATCTATCGACGCGTTGACTGCCGGTCGTGGATCGTGGACTTTAAAATCCTCCCTAGAATATTATGCGATGTAATATATTTTTTGAACCGGTGAGTAATTCTCAGTTTAGAAATTATGTTTGAAAATGTATTTGGGACACTTTATAGAAGGTGACACTGTTCCAAAAAGTGAGATGTGTTGACTTTGATCCTCCGAGGGTATCATAACCCCCTCCTGCTAATCTATTTATCACCTAAACTAATGATTTAAGTGTTGTCACGGTAAATCAAAGGAAAAAATGAGACACTTACTTCTTAAGGAAACAGGGAGAGTACATTTGTAACTGTCATTCTGTTATGAACGGTCAGAACTTCTCTACTCTACTCTGCCCCTGAGTTACGCTTATCCCTTACACATAAACCAATGCAATACCTTCTCATTTATCCTTTTCAAACAAAAAACAAAAAAAAACGAAATTCCTTTCCGCGGCGATAGCACGAATCTTCCACTTTTTATCTCCTTCATTTTTTCAGGCACAATGGAAGCTACTAAACCAAACCATGTAAGATTTAATTTTTTCTTATTCTTTCTATGAGGCCATGTGAACAGTACAATATTCTCACTTATACTACTGTGGTTTATTACAGTTAAAGAGGCCCCTGTTCAGCCCCTCTAAGAGCCCACACTTAAAGAAAAGTCGGCCTACATATTCTCCTAACAAAAATAAGAGGAGAGTCCGTTCCCTCTTTCATTCGAGTCAACCAACAATTCTTAAGTCATCTGTCAATTCAGAACAGCTTGCACAGGTATGTAGAATTAATTTTAAAAAGTTTTATGATATATAATGGAAAAGCCCTGATGCAATGATCATTTATGAAATGTCCAGCCTCTAGATGATTCTCAACAATTTGAGGAAGCCAAGCCGACTCGGGCCAAACGAAATAGGTTGTTTCCGTCTACTCTCTGGAGGCACAATGTATGATAAATTATCCCTCACACTATGTAGTTGAGAATGTCTAAATATTAATTGCATGAAAACTGTCCCTTAGGCTTCTCCTACCTCATCAACCACCGAGACTGCAATAGTAACTCCGCTGAAAGTTAAGATACCCAATTTTCTCAATGATTGTTCTCCAACTTCTCCAACCTCATCAACAACTGAGACTGCCATAGTTACTCCTCTGAAAGTTAAACTGTCCTATCAGCCCAATGGTGGTAACCACAGGAGCAAGGATTGTGATGATGTAAGTCATTTATCATCCGTGAGTTTCCCCTCTCAAAATTAATGTTGATGTACAATACTTTGTCCCTGTAGATGTCTTCAGTGTCATCCACAACAGAAACGGCAATTGTAAGTCCGATAAAATTGAAATCTGCTTGCAGTAATGCCACTGTACTTACTGATCATGACTACTGTCTTGTCTCTCTGGTAAGTATGTAAAGATATAGTTGTAGTGTGCTATATGGTAAATTCATTCATCTGTATGTTTGACTTGTGTATAGGTTCCAGCTTCTATTGAAGAGCGTGCTGTTCCCCCTTTAAAAATTCGACGGATACCAATAACCAAGTCAAAAGTAAATGGTGCTCAATCAGAGCATGATTACTTGTTGATTGATGAAATGCCAACATCAGAGCAGCCTATAATTCCTGTGAGTATGATACTATGCAGATATTGATGTAATTTTAATTCCTTGTATATATTCTGGTTGAGTAGAAGCCTATTAATTTTTACAGGCTGCTGAACAAGTTACAAACTTGACAAGTGATCAAAATAATGTGAGAATAGCTGATAAGTTGAGTTCCACATCAAGTATGTTTTCTCGTTACTTAAGTAAATCAGTATTGCTTCTATTTTCCAGAATGAGGCAACTACTCCAGATATTTTTAACACACCTCCACATGATCCATTTGTGGTGGTAAATGTGACAACTGCTGATGTCCCAGAGGCCAAATTACCTCATGCTGACTTGGAAAAGAATAAAAATGCTGAGCTGAGAAAATGGCTTGAATTTCGAGGTATTCCCAAAGGTGGAAATAGAGCACAACTCATCGAAAAGTAATAATTGGAAATTTATCTGTACCTGCATTCTCCCACAAGTCAAGTAAGATAGAATCCATGATACTAAAAATTATTTTTAAAATTTCAGAGTAAGAAATTGTATGGCAAATACTAAACATCACATCTTGGACCCCAAAGCAGGGGGTGGAATTCATTACAAGAAGAAGCAAGAACAGTTGATGTTATCACAGGTACTGTAATCATTATTGTAACACAATTCATCAGAAAAAGAACACCCCCTACATATGATGTTAACAATTTTCTCTTTACACAGGATCCAAGTAGAGTTATTGACGAGTATACTTTTTGCTGTGACACTTGGGACACATTTCCTAGTAGAGACATGCCAGGAAGCTTCAATTTTGGTAGTATATACCATTATCTTGTAGAAACCATGCCTGGACTTGAAGACATTCAAAGGCAGAGTGCAAATGCGGAATCTGACGGAGACTCTGGTGAAGAGCCTTTAAATGAGGTGGAAGAGGAGGTAGTTGAACTCCAGGATCCATTTGAAGCTGCTGAGAGCGCAGAAATCAAATCAAGCAAAAAGCTGCGTAGAGGGTTGCAGTATGTGAAAAGTGGCTATGTTCGCAACATCAAAGACACCCTGCCTCTGCCTGGCCGACTTCACCTGTACAAAGCTCAAGTCAGAGCCTCCATGAAGGGAAGAGCCTACCTAGTTAAAGTAGCAATTTCACAACTGTCGGGAAGCATTGCTAAGTGTTTTTGCGACCAGGAGTGCCCACAAAATTCTTTAGGAAGGTGCAGCCATGTAAGCGCCGTATTGTTCTCTCTCTTAATTCATAAAAATGTGAATGGCCCAGGAGGTAAGTTATTAGTCATTAATTTAGATCCTACAGGAACCTGATAAAAATATTGTGTGTGTAATATACTACCAAAAGTGAAATTGGTCAAGGAAAAGCAATCAATGTGTCTTTTACAATGTAATAATTTTAATTTTTGTTGTGGGAATGATGTAAAACTTAGGCAAAAAAAAAAATAATCATAATTTAACAGCAACATCCAGAATAATACTTCTTCATCACATTTGGTGAGTTTTGTCATCACAGATTTATTTGGTGGTTGGTCATCTTCATCTATATGAAGTGCATTGTCTTCTTGCACCTGAAATCATTGGAACATATTACATCATGTCTCTACGAACACAATCGATTCCAGTATTGTATTTTTTCTCAGACAATCATCATTGATGATGGGAACTGCTCACCTTCATTGGTATATCACCCTTCAGTGGATGGGTCTTGTTTAATTTTGTTTAGGATCATCAAGGTCTCCAGATCTGTCTTCACTTACAACAAATCTTTTGTCATGGATACGGCTAGATCCAAAATTGCGCAGGTAAGCTGCTATGTAGACAAGGTTGTCTACCACTGGCAACAGGTTGAAAGGCATAACACCCTGCAGTAGCCTGTTGTCTTTTATGTCTGCTATTGCGTGCTCAGTGTAGATACGAGAAGAGGCAATAGCTTTTGTCAGAATTTCTTCTTCTCTTGTAAAGTTTTGGCGTCCATCCAGAACAGGTGGTTTGTACAATTCACAACCTATTGCTTGCAGTTCTGCTGTTATCTCATACCCACGATCTGTCATAACTCCATCACCCTTCTGTAATCTGGTGAGCAAGTTGCTGTTAACGATGACACCCTTGTCTGACATGGACCCTTCCATTCCATCGCTACAAAATATGGTAGCACAATTACACGAAATACCTATTGAAAATATAATGACACAGTGCCCCTTGTATGAGGAAAAGCAATTCCCTTGCTGTTCAAAGTTGGTTGGTGATTGTATAAAGATTGAAAGTCCATCTAAAAGAATCCTCAAATTCTTGCGTATTATTTGCGTTGTTGGGCAGCTGTTGGGAACATTTCATTTTCCATTGCTTTGAAACTTAAATAGAGATGCCTCGTCATTATGTAGCAAATGTCCTCAGCTAGAGTGTGACCAATGTTGAACATTTCTGCTATGTCTTCAAGAGTAAATCCTCTTCTTAACCTCAGGAGAAACATAAAAAGTTTGTCTTCACTTGAAAGTTTTTGTTGTCTTTTTTTTTTGGAGTCTGGCGTTCTACCAGTGTACTTTCTTTTCAATGTGGAAATAGTGTCATCACCACCAATTAATTCATACAGTGTGAGAAATTCTTCCACATCCAAACCAGTGAAAAACTTAAACTTTGGATTATATCTACACGTTTCAAAAGAATAGTATGGCAGTGTTTGTACTCCACGGTCAACTACACACTTTTGCTGCAACAAAACCAATAACAATATTTGAAATTTTTCAATTTATTTTTAAAAAATAGAGCAAACACTAGTGCACTTACTTCTGTCTGCACTTCTGCATCACAGGTTCTTGCTAAATGATCCCTGCCCTCTTGATCACCCTCATCATTCAAACTCTCAGCGTGGCGCACAGGAGACTCATCTGGATGGGGTTGTATCTGCAACAGAGGGAACTGCAAGGATTAGTGGGAATTTGCATTGCATCACTGCTAAAATGTGGGCAGGTCGTAGCCAATTCAAATGTGTGGGCTCCTAACAGTCCTTTCAACTAACAAATCCTCATAAAAAATATCAAAAAAAAAACAGTGTTCTGAGCAAAGTGCTACGTCCAACCACATTTTCCCAGTGACTCACAGAACAGTGTATGCCTCTAATTTAGTAACCTTTTACAGAAGCACCATATAGAAAGCCTTTAAAAATTCCGAACTAATTTGTTTTTTATTCTGCCTTTACAACAGCTATTACCTGCACGTCTAAACCCTGCACATGGAACAGAGGCAGTCTGAAGCACGATCCATCTCGTGCCAACCAGCGCCAGTATACATCTCTGAAATTGAATGTGCTGCGCCGAGCCAACTTTGATCCTCGAGCTACAAGGTACCAAATGGGACCCACTACTTTGCAGAAGAACAACTTCCTCCTACGTTTACAAGAAATAAAACCCCAAAAAGAACCAAGTCTTTTCCAAACAATTATGTGCATGCAGTATGAAGATTTTGTGTACGATGATGAAGATATAGAACTTTTCAGATGGAAAAGGAGATTAATGCACTACTCCCTAAGACTACTGAAACCAAATCCTGATTATGTTGGATCATATGAAGTTCCTGGAACAGCATCACAGAGCGCTTCTGATACATGGACCCGTCTACGGGCACTACACTGCTCAGCACAACCTAGCAGACAAATAGATAAATTTCAAGCAGAAAGTGCTAAGAAAAATTTCCTGAGGAAACACTTGTGGGGAATGGATCGTGTACCAACCAAAGGTATGGCTTATGGGACATTGCATGAAGAAGATGCCAGAAAAGCATACAAAGCTGAGCAACAAGCAAAAGATAAAACAGCAAAAGTTGTTAAAAAAGGATTAATGCTACATGCACAGTATGTTGGTTTATCTTGCAGCCCAGACGGCATAAAAACTTCAAAAGTACCTAATTCAAAAGATAAGTTGCTTGAAATCAAATGCTTGTACTCCATGAGGTCAGAAGATCCAAAAAAGTTCGATACAATTCTGTCCAAGAAGCAATTGAACTCTTTCTGCCTCACAAGAGATGTTAACACTAGAAGGACCGGGATTTTCGTATACCTAGAAGGACCGGAGGGGTCATTTTGACCCCTCTACGATTTTTGGCCGTTTTTATGGCTTCAAGACTTCCGTTTTATCGCACATGATTAAGGTTTTGTGTGTTTAAAGGTACCTGATGCCATGACGTGACATTAGTTAGGTTGAAAGTGCGTTTAGGTAGGCAACCCGCACGGCATAAAACAATTTTTTTGTAATTTTACAGCCATTTCTGTTAACTGTTTGCACCATTTAAGACATTTTTAAACTTTAAAATTAATATCTGATTTAGTACACATTTATAATCACGTGATCTTTAGAACACGTAAGTACTCTAAAAGCGGGAATGTGATTCACACCAAAACATTTTATTTTTTACCAATTTGGCACTGACAACAATGTGCGTGGCAGTTTTGGCATTCGCAAAACCATCCGTTTTTTGTGCTAGACGGCCCCCTTTGCCATCAGAACACGAGTCCGGTGACGCAACTACCACTAAAGCCTTGGATGTGTTGTAATTTAGAAACGGGGTTTTGTGACGTGCGTGTTGCCTACCTTCCCTGAATGAAGGAGTGAAAAAGAGTCACATGGCCGACCAAAAGTCAAAAGCTGACGTAAACAACAAATACGGTCAGCCTTATG